AAAGTCTTGCTGAAGAGACCACCAACCACCGAGAGCTTGAATCTAAGAAAGACAAGGAATTGAGTCAGAAATTAATAAATGGAAGTATTCTGGAGAAAAGTGACTCGATTTCATGCAGACAAGCTTTTCTCCTTGAAAACGAGCTGGTCTGCTTGAAAACGAGTTGACTTGAGCAGAATTTGGTTGTCTCGGAAGACCGCCGGCTTTATTGCAAACATACTCGTTTTCTTGAACACACACTCGTTTTGTCGAAAACATGATCGCTTGATTGAAAACAAACTTGTTTTCAAGAGAACAAGCTCGTTTTCAAGCAAGCCGGCTTGTTTTCAAGAAAACAAGCGGGATTGCTTGAAAACGAGATTGATTTCAAGAAGAGTGTTGTGTTTTCAAGCAAGCCGACCTGTTTGCTTGAAAATGAGGTCATGCACTTGCAAAAGCGATAGCTGCCTGTGGTTGGAAAGAGGATCGCCTGACAAGGCAATCAAAATATAAGAAGGGAGTGAAAACTTACTTGCGAGGAGCCACCCGAGAGCAGGAGAAGAAATGAACCTGTTGATGAAAAAGATAAAGGAAGAGCGGATTAGCTATAGCTAGACTGACTGAACCAATCGGCTTTGGAAGATCAACAAAGCCTAGACATATGGAAATGTGTACCTCAGGGGAGGGTGAAAGAATAGTGAAGATGATAGAGAAATGGAGGTAGAGAGTGACTTACCAGGTTGTGAGCCAAGATGATAGTGGGGGAACGAGTCGCTTGTGAGTGTACTAGGTGGGTTCATAAGGGAAAATAATTAATTGATTGAAGGATGCCAGTTTTGAGGCGAATCAGTGACATTCTTGTGAAACTCAGAAGTCACAGGAGTGTGTTTGTGTAGGGATCGAAATTCATCTCCCATTGAATGGAGGACATTAGTCCTACATTCAAGGAGACACGCCACAGTAAGTGTACTTGACAAGTAGGAAATGGAAGCTAGATGAAAACATGAACTTCCATGAATCCAGCCAAAGGGAACCACATGGGCCAAAAAAAATTGTACAGAAATCCAAAGAAATTATGAGATTTGCACATGACCAATTGAGAATTACAATCATTACATATAAGGATACTCAATGCACAAATGCCATGGGACCTGAAAAGTGATTTTCTGTTGGAATCTCATGGGTGAAAGCCTGAGAGAAAAGAATTTGGGTAGTCTCAAAAGGACCAAAATGACCAAAATCTCCTCACTAAGCATATTCATCAAGGTGGTCGTGAAAAGCATTCAAATTATATAGATAATTTTCTCAAATATAAAGTAAGAACCAGGATCAAAAAACAGATAAAAAGGTGTAGTAGAAGCCAAAATATGAATATATTGATAGTATTTTTCCAACCAAAATGACATGATTCAAGGTCTTTTGGTGAGTTCCATCAAATCCAAGATTCTAGTCTTAGCAGGTCATAAGAAAATCTGTATAATGTGCTCATGGATTGAAAAGGCTAGTGTGGATCATGTATTCAGTACCAGTTCTGATTAAAAGATTGCAATCAATCACATTCTCCACTGTCAATGAATGGAAAGGGAACAGAAAAAGAATAAAGTCCAAGAAGAAAATGAGAATTAATAACCCAAAGTTACCACCATCTACATAGCAATCAAAGCCCTTAATGTGGAAATATAGAGAAGTAGGGTAGGAAATGTAAATAAATGTCTGGGTGGAATTTTGACACATGAAAATATTGAATTCAAGTTTTGGGGGCACCACAATGTGTCTATGGAAATATAATATAATATTCAAATTTCATTAATGTTTAATTGTCTTGATTTACAAAAGGTAAATAAGTGCCAACAAGAATAGGAGACTATTTTTGCTAATCACTTGTAAGTGAAATTTCATAGGTGCAGGAATCAAACCTATCTCATCAACCAAAAATAGAGTTTTAGTTTGTGGCAAAACATGTTCCACTCTATCCAAAATCAATCACTGTAGAAAATGAGGTTCACACATTTTCCTTGTTGAAGATTGATTTGGATAGTGATGATGTTACTGATCAATGTGAAACATTGAAAAAAAAAAACACCTGAACAGTAATGAGTGGGTAATCAGCTGATGGAATCAAGGATACAACTCTCAGGTTTTTTCTGAGACCAGTGTTCTTGTTGAAAATCTTGAGGTCTAGAAGACGTAACTGATTGTGGTGGAAGATAGTTGAAAATTAGAACCCAACCAAAGGAGATTCAAGGTATATCAGGTCAATTCATTTGAGAAAACATGAAATCATTCAGAATTTATGTTCTCTTTGAATGCAATTTCTAAAATAATCACTTTGATTATGTTGACCAGTTGAATGTTTTGTTGAGGTACGTAATGGATCCATTTTGGGAAACCCCAAAGTCTCAACAATGAATCATGTTCAATAATAGAACAGTTGGCAACAATGTGAATTCAATTACTCATGTCTCAGCCTGAATGGATGTGCGCACCCAAAACGGTGCACCATTAGCAAATCTATTCATCAAGATTCTTTTTAGTGGCTCATTCCATTCAGTTAAATAATTGGACCAGTGTACTCAAAAAGTCATTATTTTTGGGTTTGGTAGTCTGTTCCATAAGACCGGCGGTCTTAATACCGGTGGTCATAAGAACGGTGGTCTTAAGACCACCAGTATGACAACTGACCACCTTAAGATTGGGGTCTTAAGACCTCCAGTCTTAAGACCGGTGGTCTTAAGACCACCGGTCTTAAGACCGCTGGTCTTAAAACCGCCGGTCTTAGGACCGCCGGTCTTAAAACCGCCGGTCTTAAGACCGCCGGTCTTGACTGGTCTTATGGAACATTAATGTGGCTATTACTGAAAGCATCAAAACTGGAAGTCTTGGAGTTGAAGTTGATTGGCCATAAGTCACCAGTGGAGCATTGTAGGACATTTACCTTAATAGCCCCCTCATCAAAATCATTCAAAGTGGAACTAGCAGTACAGCTAGGGTGCGCTTAAGACCGGCAGTCTTATTAATTTCACACAAGGTTTTCTCACCAGGTTACCACCTCAAACGAGCATTCACATTTTTTAATTGCAGAGGATACATATCATATGAGAGTTATTGCAGACTACGTGTTTGTGGAATGTTGAATAAGTCAGATTCTTGACTAGTATGATTGATATAATCATGCGCAATACGCTTGGCTAGTTCATGACGGGTAGGGATGACAAATTTCGAAACATCTTCAGGGTTTTGAATGACAGAAGAGAGAATTTGGCGAATGTAGGTGCCTAGATTTACCCACACTTCTTCGGAAGACTTGAACTCGGTTGGAGAGGTCAATTGAATTTCTCTAAAAATGTGCAAGACCTCTAGAGTATCACATATCGCATATTGTCGGTGGTCCCGAGAGGCGTTAAAAATTCCACGCACACCGCCAAGCAGATAAAGAAGAAATGGGAGGTAGTTATGGCGACTTTCAATTTTTTGAAGAGATTGATGATCGGGGGTCTTCTTAGAAATAGCTCTGGATGTTCCTTCATTATTCTTTGACTTTTTTCGCGGATTATACTGATCTTGTGAATGAGCTTCAATTATGGTGTAGGACATCATCATCTCGATGATGACCTTACGGAAATCATCAAGTGCATCACTAGGGGGAGCAGTTGAGGTGTTCGTGGCTTCAATCTCCTCGACAGTGTTGGATGGACCTTCAGTTAGCTGTGGTAGAGTCGGCATTGTGTTCTTCAGAGTGTTGAGCCATTGTAATACTAGTACATGCCGTTTCATCGAAGTTGCTCCTGATGCAATCTGGGGAGCTTTGGGATTCTCATCGGAAATCGTTTGAATTGAAAGGGCAACCGTCTTAGCCCACTCTCGCAAAACCCGATTGATGGGAATCTTGAGGAGAAAGGCAAGGGTTCGAAGTAGATTTGACTCGGGATGGGTAGTTTTGCAATTGTAAGGAAGGATTGGATTTGACGTGTGAACTTGTTTCTTGAGAAAGTCAAGATTAAAAATATCTTTAGAGAACCAGAATTCGGAATCTGAATGAGAAAGGAAAGATGTCGCTGGGAACCACACCGAATTCATATTAGAACTGAGCAGGATCAGTTTGGTTTGAATGTATAAAAAACTCACCAGTATCAGAGATTTCTTTGATCCAGGTCTCATATGTGAACAGGGCATTGTTATAAATGAAAGTCGCAGTTGGGATTTTGGATACATCTGGAGTATTGAGCCGTCATTTCAAGAGGTATTCGAGAGAAGTCCAACCTTTCTCCCACTTTTGCTTGGTAACACGACCTTTTTGAAACGTTTGAACCAGGTCATGAATCTTCTTACGAAAAGATTCAGACACAATGATGGTGAATGTTTCTCGGGAAATCGGAGCAGTGGTTGTCTCACTATTGTTTTGAGCTGAAGGGAGTTCGGTTGGCCCAGTGACATTGGCGGGAGATTGATCCTCGTCAGTATGGTGTGATGAATCGGCTTCAGTATGATGTTCGGAGGCTATGTCAGAAGGAGGGGGGGTTAAGCTAGAACTCCTCTCTTCACGAATGTTTCCGGGGATTTTATATTTCTTCTGGCCACTAATGTGTCTCTTGTTTGTCGTGTTTTGTTTTTCTGTGGTAGATGTTGTCGATGGTCCGGTTTTTTCGGTGGGTGGATTCAAGCGATTACGAGTGAGGATTCGAGTAGGAATGGCAGAATCTTGGTTTTTCGGTGGAATAGGAGAGCTCGGTTGTTCATCATCAGTGTCAGCATCAGGTCCGCCAACAGAATCCACGGGTGAGAGAGGATTTGATGAGGTTTTGTCTTCGCAGGTTGTACGGCCTGAAACTTCATCTGTAGTCGCATTTTTATCAGTCTGAGTGTTCCCTTGTGATTTTGTCAGGGAAGTATCGTTTTCAGCTTGACTCGTTGAGGTTGACATGTGAGAAGTAATTGGAACAGGTGGATGCGATTTTCGTTTGGATTTCTGCGTTTTTTTTGGTTTTGGGGGTACAGAAGAAGAAGCCCGAGTGATGCTTGGTTTTGTGCATGGCTTCACCATTAGGCACTCGTCAGTGGGAAGAGATTTGTTTGACTCGTAATCTGAAGATCATAATTCATGTGTGTTAGCGGCAAAGGAAAATTTGTGTGATAAAGGTTAGACGTACCTTTGAGGATACGATCCAAACGAAGCACAATTCGAGAAAAGTCTTCCTTGATTGATTTGGGGAATCGTGATTTGGAAGTGGCCAAGGCATGGTCTCTTGTCTTGATCAGACTAGTTAAAAATTCTTCTTCGCTTATCTCCTGGATTTCTGAGTTTAAAAGCGGCTCGGTAGGGGTTTCAGCGGGTGGCAATGTTGGGGTCGATTTGCTTGGGGGGGTTGGCTTGGGTTGCTGCTCTGATGGGAAGGACATTTCATAGGTGGCGGGGTCTGCATGGAAATTTAGAGGTGATAGATCAATTCAAAGGCCCTTCAGACGAGAAGGAGATTGGGAGAGGGCAGTTTTTTTATCAAGGCTCACTTGGAGGTGGTGTAGATGCAGGATGTTCTTCTGGAGCGGAATTAGTTTTTGTGGTCTCTGGTGACGTTTCAACGGCAGGAGTCATTTGAATAGAAGCGTCCATACCGAGACTGTAAAACTGTAACTAAATGAATATGTGTAAGTCTTGGTAAAGGTTGGTATTCGAAGGGGGATTGTTCTTGGAATGTGGGAAGTTGGAACACTTGGGGGAAAGACGTACGGTTTAAGTAGTATTTTGATTAATCTGTTTGGCTAGTTTTGGACCCCAAAAGCAAGTTTTCTGCATGCCCCTTGTCATCATCCAGTGGAGGCTATGCATTGATGACAAAGGTGTGTCTATACTTTGGTTCAACACAGAAAATTTCTTCGATTATGACCCTTTTTTATAGTTTATTTGGGAAGTGAGACAAATAAATCAACAATGATGTATTTGGGTGTGACCACAAATAAGATTACATAGTCGAATGTGGTGTGATCTTTCAAGGTTTTGATGAAATCAGCAGCTATCAGCATACATCAATTATTTGGTGACATCAGCAGTGCTTGGGTCGGTTAACCATAAAGTAAATGCAGTCATATTAATAAAGTTACACTTTGGGGAACTGTAAATATCCTCAGGGGGAATTTCAAGAAAGATATGCTTGAAAATTCATTATCATGGAATATAAAAAATCTTGCCTTATTCCATGATGTGACTCAGGGAAAAAGTTGGGGGTGAAATATCCCTGATTGATCCGGATCAGCAGTGGTAATACAAGCATAGTTACCAATTTCTAATAAGACCGCCGGGCTTGTGTATTCATTCAGCTTATCCAGAAATTTCAAGATTATTGGCCTTGTGAAGAATGCCGATCTGACAAGACCGGCGGGCTTATCCTGCCTGTTAGCCTTATAGCCGGAACCACTGCTCTGTAGACAATTTCCCAATTTGCTAAACACCGATCTAAAAAAAGGAAAGAAATCAGTAAGACCGGCGGTCTTGTGGACAATCTAGAAGAGAATTATGAATCAAGGCTAGTTTTTCCGGTGGAATTCACCATACTAGGGAGTCACAGCATGCATCAGAAAAATTGGAAGATAGATATGGCATTGTTTAAGCATGCTAGGCCCCAGCTTAATAATTGGGAAATGCATTCAGCAAATAATTACATATTTGGACCCAAATGAGACTCAATTTTAAAATGAATGCCAAGCAGCTGGTATTGAAGTACATATACCATTGGATGTTTTATTCATAAGTGAGTCAATGCAGAATGACATTAGACTATGTTTGGAGCATACAAAAAGCAGATCATCAGAAACAATGTGTGCCTGGATGTGTATTGACTAGTCAATGCAAATTTCAAGCTGAATCCGGCAGTTCATTCAGGTTTAGTAAAAGGATAATCATATTCATATCAGATGTAAGATTGAAGATTTGTTACTTACTTTTCCAGATTCCTTGGATGAGGATTCAGGTGTACTGTTGCTCTCTTTGTTCTGGGGCTTCTTGCCTTTTCCTGGGCTGGATCCAGGGGACGGGGAATCATTCCATGGTCTGACAACAGGCTCTGTAAAAATTCTACAGGTTAGATTTGTGAAAAATATACTTGTACAAATGATACGACTCGCCTCTACCCAAATCTTTCCTTTTCTCTTCCCAGATCTTTTGAATTTGGGGCACTTCAGAAAGAGGGATTCCCAGTTGGTTGGCCTCTATGTTTGCCTTGCGCTGTTGTTCTTTGGCTTCAAACCAATGGCCCGAGTCCATCATTGGTCGAAGGTACTGGCTTCCAGCACTCACAGTAGTATAATTGTTAGAATTTGATTTGTGTACTTCAGGTTCCCATCCATTGACAAGGCTGATCATATGGTCTCGAGTTTCATCCAACCATTCATAGTGGTTCTGGATTTCATACTTCTTGTGTTGATATTTTTCTGATAAGCCTTCATTGTTGCCAGACATATTATGGAGTTAACTAAACTAGAGCTAATTTTTGTGGCAAGACGGATGAAGCTACAAGATGATGGTTTGTGGGGACTATTTCGAGCAAAAAGAGAGAGACATTTTAACCTTGGGGCCATGGACACATTCAAGGTGATTTCATCTGTTGGCAAACCTCTCATGCTTCAGGTGCTGGTGGTGACGAAAAATTCATCCCCCTAAACCCAAAGTACGTCATCTTTCCATTTGTGTGTGTGTGGCCCATACTGACTGAGAATTTTGCATCCGAATGGTGTGGGACACAAAGGTACATATTTGTTCTCCGATTTCGGGCTTGCAGAAAACTTACACACGTATTGAGTGCAAGTAGAGTTGCCAAGAAGATCACCATCATCCCTTGAAACACATCATTGGTTTCAGAATTTGAATCAAGCGCTATAGTTACACAGCAAACTCATTGGTTAAGGGGGATGTAATATCACAAGTGACACACAATAGGGTAAAAAATCACACGTGTATCCACTGCATGGGCGGCTAATAAGAGCTCATGATCTGCAATTTAATTCGGTTGTATCCTTATGGTATCTTTGTCACATTACATCTACATGAGATACAGAAGGGATACAGACAAGATAAGGCATAGATACAGACCAGATAAGGCATAGATACCCCCCAATTGACTAGAGAGTCCTGCTTGCTCGTGCTTACCTCCCATGGAAGAAATGAAGTGTTTTTAATAGTCCTGCATGATTTCATGTAGATCATACTCAATGACTGCATGAACCAGTTTGCCTGTTCTCTTTGAATACACAATACCTAATACGCTATAGCTGTTCAGGTGATGTTTAACCTACTGATACGGTTTAAATCCGATTTGTACATAGGCTAGCACGTGGGCCACAGCATCCTTCAGATCAAAAAGTTTCAAATGCCGGCTGTTTGGGCATTTTGAGCACAAGATCTCAACTTCCATGCATACAAAAGCATTGCATGGTTTACGTGGAACAGGGAATGTGAAATCAGACTGGTGTAAATAGCAAAAATTCCAACATTGTCTGGGCTCATTGCATCATCCAAGAACACTGGTCGGTATTAAGATTGGAGATTGCTGAAATTTGGATTCAACCACATTCCCAAATGGTCCAATTGATCCCTGAACTGCACAATTTCCTGGTATCAGATTCCTCTTATCTTGCCTCAGGGATTTCCCGGCACAGGTAACACGAATAATCCTCACATTGTTCCATTTTTCCTGCATTGTTGAATTGAGAGTTCATGTTCTGTTTGAGCAACTTTGCAGGCTATGTAAGTCTCATTAAACTGGTTTGGGAAGCGTCATGTGGATTTTTACGGGTCAGCCTGTGATGTTTACCAGATACGCATCACACACCCAAAGACGTGTGATATATGTGGCGAAAGTAGCAAAAGTGCTCCTGTGCGATTTACTTCTGGAAAAAGCAATATAAATGAAGCTTTGGAGTCCACCTAAGAATTTTGACCACCCACCACACGAACAGCACACAAATCAATTTACCAAGCTAAACATTTAAACTATCAGAAAGATGACTAACATGTGCTACCTATTCAACTCGAATGAGGTTGTTAATTACCTACAAGAGTCTGTTAAATCAATTGAAACCATGGTTTCCCAAATGGAACCAGACCAACTCCCTGTAGATTATGAGAAAAATCATTATCAAATAAACCTAAGCCATGCAAGGCACATTGAAGATCTTCAGGCTAGGATTTCGGGTTGGTGTGCCAATCGGTGTGTCCTACTAGCCTTGGTACCAGATGCTTTGGTGATTTGGAATCTCCGCAGGATGCGCCTTGGAAGAGGTAAAATTTTGCTTCACTTTTAATACTTTACAATTGGCTGATATGCTTTACTTAGACCCAATTCGCATAGAAAACTGGAGAACTGAAGCTGAACGTAGGGAAGCCACCAACCAAAGGCTTATTTACCCTTGAGGTATTGGTTTGAATATTATAGTGGATTATGCACCATCCAAGGGTATGTCTAACTTGAAATGCTAAATTTTCTGAAAGCATATGAAGTCAGTCAAGGCTTAAACGGATATATACTGATTGGTTGATATGAAATTTCTCCAGGGCACAAATCATTCTGCCCAAATAAGGCTTACACTTCCCAAGTGTAATCTTCATTATATTTTCCGGATTTGCCTGTCACGCTTTAACCACTGTTCCATCCTTGATGCTATATACCACCTTGATTCCTTCAGTGAATTCTCAAGGGGTGCATTTTATGGTGTAGGAATGTCCGTTGTTTCACTATGCTTCCTCATAGTCTGGTTCTGAGGGAAAAAATTAAATAAATGCGTAACAATTTTTTCTGGAGAAATTTGGTTATCCTGTTTGTTAATTTGCTATGCTTCTTGAGTGGTCTTCACACTTGAAAGAAGTTTTATTTGGATTGAAATGTTTCAATGTATACACTAGCAATTTAACAAGTTTCAGTTGGGTAACCAATTGCACAGACTGGATTGGATCAGCATGTGATTTTTTGGCGATGTAAATTGCTTAATCCCTCAGCATTTATATCTGAGAAGAAGAAGGGGCTCCTGTGGAACAATCACCAAGGTCTTAGTGTCTATGATTTGATATCATATAAGAAAACATCACCCAATGAATACAACAACAAAGATATCCTTGTTCATAGTATACCCACCCAAGATCATATTTTTCCTAATGAACACCCTCTATACCACTGATTGTAAGAAATTGGCAATTCTGAAAAGGGTGTAGTGGCAATTTCACGTCTGAATGGAATTTTAAATCTGGAAAATATCCCCAAAGAAAAAAATGCTGGAGATATTCTGTGGACCAATGAATATTGAAATTGGTTTAGTTTCCAAGATGATGAATGCATTAATCATTTAAAAATATTCTTTCTCATTGAAAAATTATGATCCTTTGAACAAATACACGAAGGGGATTTCTTAATGGGATGACTTTATAATTCATCTGGGGAATGAGTTTCAGCTATCATGGAGAGTCAAGTCCACACCATGTGCTGCTTTTGATGTGCTTAGTCATCTTAGCAATAATGGTGGGTGGAGAAACCACCATTTCCTGCAAGCGCAAGGTTTGGCCCGCATAAGACTGCCGTACTTAAGCGAGCTGGACTCAAAAAAGCACTCTATGATTAGGCTGAGCAAAACAATCACAATTCAGGAATTTGTGAGACTTGAATTAAAATTTAAATCCAGCTCTTAATGGCCCTCACAAGGCCTAGGGTGATGAGTATACAACTGGGCTCCAGAAGTCTTTCATGAGAATGGCAATCTTCCTGAGGCTGGTCAGGCCAAACACGGTGCCTGGACTCACATGTTAATGGGTGCATCAAGAAGCTCTCTCTTCTCTACTTATCAATCCAAATTATTTCAAAGACCAGATTGGAATTAAAAATTGGGATTCCCATTCATGAGGAGTTGTAGGTACCTGAGGTCTTCCACCGTCTAGCAACCTTACAGAAACCAGCTTCTAAGAATCATCTTGTTTACAAGATGGAAGCCTTACTTTTCTTTTCCGGATCCATTACTCAACACAATTTGAACCATGTATCAATCAGTGAGGCAGCACAGTTTCATTTCGACCTCTCATGAACATCAATAGTAGCACATGTTATGATTGTATTACAACTCATTTCAAATTGAGAGAGTGGATTTATCAGGAATAGTCAAAGAAATATATTTTGAGCAATTCTTTTTTTGGTTGTATGTTATCATATGGACTAAGCAGGACTAAGCAAGATAAGGAAGGCAATACTCATACAGTGTAAGACAGATTTTTTTATGAATCACCATGCCTTTTGGGAAATAAACCTTTATGTGAGGTGTTTAATTGTAATTTCTTTGGCACAAATTTGCCTTAAACACAATTAGAGCATGTCAGCTAATATGTACACATTTCTTTGGTGATGCTTTAAAATTTGAAAATTGGACCTACTCAACTCGAACCACTGGGGCCTTGCAATCCCCCAAATCCAAGATCTCCTATGCTTCCTCTAGCACTTCTGGAAGCTGCAAATCCACCCTTCATCGTCATCTCGTTCAAAAGTCTCTCCTTTGCCACCAAATCAATTGGATCTCGTGCGTCAAGGTGCTCCCTTTGAACAATTGATAGAGTTTCAAGGAATGAAACATCATATGCATCTGAGGGAAGCTTTCGAGGGACTTGACTGAATTCAATTTCGATTCGACGGAACCCTTCGGTATTGCGGTCGAGCAGTTTGTGGGCGCTCTTGATTTCATTCATGGTCTTTGACATGGTGAAGGCAATCTCATCTAGTTTGTGTGCACAGGAGGTGAATGATGAACTCCTCCAGGATGGGATGAGACGGTTGGGTTTCGACGGTGGGGGCTGGTCCTCCCAATCAGAGACCGTGTCATTCTTGAATAAAAGGGCAAGCGACGGCTTATTTCCCATTTTCTTCATGGCTACATCTCGTCTTCGATTTGCAATCTTAGAGAATTGAAGCCATCAAATTTAAGTTTGAATTAATGGGAATAGAATTCATATAAAATCATGACTTACTTTTGTTTTCATTCGGGTGATTGCAGTTTTTTTACCCTTCTCAGCTCTTAATTCCTCAGCTGATTTTTCTCCAACGACATTTCCCTTTTTCATCTCTCTCCCTTTCCCCCGGATCCAACGATCCAATATCTTCTCCATAGACGAAACATCCTCCCAAATTGTCCCTGGCTGTGACTTCGCCCATTTGTAGTAGTGTTTCATCAAGATTGATCCGAGTGTTGCATTCCAAGGAGACGCTGTAAAAGATCGAGAATTCCACTCAAAAGTGACTCGACCGAATCCAGCAAGTTGGATGTCCTGTTCACACGCTTTCTTCACATTGATCGGAATGTTGATATTGCTGTTGAAAACATCAGGTGCAGGAGTGAAAGGTGGGGGTGATATTTTTTTCCGGATCCGTGCCACCTCATCGCTATACATTTTCTTAAAAGTCGGTTTCGGAGTTTCTTTGTGGGTTTCAGTGAAGTTGTCCAAGTGCTTCATCATCTTGTTGTAGCGGTTCTCAGCCCAGTGATTCCAAGCATTCCATTCGCTCGGCGTTGGCTCGACAGGGAATGCAGCGATGGATGCAGGCACACCCATCATGAACTGGACAAAATTTCGGATGGACCTGCATAAAGCACTTGACTGACTGGGAAGTTTTTCGCTGACGACAACTTTGCGTATCTTGCGCGTGTTTCCTGCGGAGAGGTCTTGATTACGTTTCCTTTTTTCCCGTTCAATCTGATGTTTGAGAGCTGCCTCAGGATCTTCAGCTTCACTTTCTGAATCTGTCAATTAAAAAACTGCAATTGGGTCAGTAATCTTGTCCATCAATACTTCCCCGACAATAACTATTCAATGTGAAGGAAATGCCAGAAACTTGCCATCATCGTCTTCATCACCCCCGTCACCTTCCAAAATCTTATCAAACTCTTCATCATTACTTTCCTCTCCCCCACCTGGTGCACCTACTGAAGTTGATCCACCTGGCCGGTTGGTTGCCTCATTCTCCGAACCGGTTTCCATATCATCTTCACCACTCATTTCAGGACTGCTGTGAGTTTAATCAAATAAAGTATGTCAGCACCGGTTGATCAGATCTATCCCCAAAATCAATGGACAAACCGGAATAGTTTTGTAAATTTAAACTGAGATTTGAAATACTTTGATTGGAGAACTTGTAATCCTGGACTTCAATATTCAAGTGCCAACTGGGAAAATGAGATGAGTTGATGGTGAGAAATTTAATGAAAAAACAAAACACTCGGTGTCACTATATTCAAACATCACCCAAATTACCATCCTACTATATTTGTCACACTATATCCCCTTTGTTTTTCAACTCGTTGTCAATATCACCACTGAGATCTCGGCAACAGAAACCTCTTTATTACTTATGCAACAAATAAAGATAACACCAAACATTGATCTCAATTGAAAGGAAATCTATTTGGCACTAAAATAGTCTTCAACGTAAATTAATATAAAGTGATGTAGTCATTGCCATCAAGCACATTTTCTCCGCATCTATTCACCTGACAGGGTGTTTTGGTCCCATGCCTGCATTAAAAATAAACACTTGATCAGCACATAGGCTATCCATTGAAGACAAATTATATCAAATAAATACGCACTATACTTCCCAGGCTGACTGCAGAGATGGTCTCCCTGCTGACCCCAAATGTACCTTCCTCATTTTCTAAGATTGCGATATGACCCACCACATGAGAATGATGCACCACTATTGCATTATCAAATTTGGTTGAGTAGAGTAACCTTGTGTTGAGCTGTGGGAGTTCCTTGTATGGATTCTTTGGTGCATCCCATCTATTCAATGTTGTGAAAGGGCGAATGACAAACCAAACATTGTCATCAGAGCGAGCCCCAAATAGTAAACTAATGCGTCCAAATAATCTATCCCCGCCATGAGACACCTCCACATTTGAGTTACCGGGTGATGGTAGATGAAAATCCTTTGCTGCAACATATTTACGATTGAAAAGGTCTACACTCTTGATGTTTACTAGATGCTTGCCAAGCTCGCCATGATCCTCATGTTCTGGGTAAATCTGGGAGATCTGTCTTCTCCATTGTTTGTACACTTTTGGATCCAGAGTAACTTTCTTATCGGTTTTCGGCATTGTCTTCTGCACCTTCTTGCTTCCATCTTCATTACGTAAATTTTCCGCACTGACATTTAATTGATTTTCAAGTCCGTAATACCGTGATTTCTTATTCCATGTATTGGTCAATGTCCGGTGGATCTCCTCTGTAAAATTTGTTGAAATTTTAATTTAAGTTAGCCCTCTTACCCAATTGCAAAAAACAAAACAAAAACAAATATTGATCTTAAAAACATACCCATATGGTGGTTGTTAGGAATTTTACCCAGCATGCCATTGAGACGCTCCTGGGCCCATGCAGCAGTGGCCATGGGTGGGCCAAGCCTCTCGATGACTACTGGATAATGCTGGGATAAGTGGAGGTTTTCTTTGGTATCCTGTGTGGGCCAGCCTGTTCGTAGTGTTTGTCGGTATTCTACAATGAGTTTTGAGTAATTGGTGATGTCACTCTTGTTCAACTGATGCTTCATTAGAATGTTTGTAATCTCAATCAGTTTTATCAACGAGTCCCTCAGGACATCTTGGTGTGTCACTGTTTTTGATCCAGTAGTATTTTCCTTCTGTTTGTCGTCCCCAATCACCCAGTATGGAACAATGGCAAGCGGGAAGTAAACTGTATATAGAATCAACCAATCTGCCGCCTTCAAGGAACCAGCACCTGCCATTCCAAAATTGTGAGGCACTCTTGAAACCCAAGTCGGTATCTTTGTCTGAGAGATCACATTTTGTAAGGCTCGCAATTCTTCTTTTTTCATCCGAGGCTCATTGGTAGGACCTTCTTCCATCTCTACTGTAATTCCTTCCCTCTCCAAATCTTCTGTTTCGGGCACTTCATCTGTTTGATGTGGCTCCTCTGGTTCATCTTCAAACTGAGATCCGCTTCCAAGGGACGAGGTGCTTATTGGACTCCTCCGACGCAATTCATAGCGCCTAACGGTGGGATTTGAGCTTTTTGAATCCAAAGAAATAGTTGATCCTGGTGCAGACCTTGTTGCACTTCTTGTCCCTCTGCTTGAAGAATTTCCCCGGAGTCCGTAGTTGTGTGTTGAAGGTCCAGTTGGATCTTCTTCAATTCTTGATAGGCGAGATAAATTTTTTGAACTGAGAAGGCGCCTTTTCCCTCCCCCCATTCCTTCATCCTCTGTGCCGCTAGAATCTCCATCTGGTGTCTTTTTTCGTTTAATTTCTGGAAACTTGAGCCCTTTGAACAATTCCTTCCCACTATCCTTCTTCTTCCATTTTGTCTCCAGCTCAACCCGCTTCTTCAAATCCTTCCCAGCCTGGTATGTTTTCAAGATATTGAAACTGTGGTCCTTGAGATTTCCCAACAGCAAATTGTGCATCACTTCAATTCCACAATGTTCCACTGATCGCCAGTAGGGTAGTTCATTCAGAATACTGCCTCGTGCGCCCTCTAGTTTTGCGATTTTCTCCCGCTCGTGAAATGAGTCACTTCCTTCCCATCTCTGCACTCGTTCCATGTGCGCTTCGTGTGTTTTCTTGGTGAATTGGTTAATTTCTATGATATTGATGTCTTGAAGATTAATCTCGCAGAAGGAACAAAACTGTGTTGCTGCATGGGATGAAAATCCTCCTGTCTTGCGGATGGCTGGGAGATCACCGATCAAGGGAAAGATGGCTGCAAATATTAGGCGGCCTTGGGGAAATTGATGTGTCTTGGTGAACCAGACACCTCTCCAAAATTCCTTCATCTCGGATATAAGTGGCTCCAGCACATGATTCATTTGGTCCAACTTGGGTTCCGTTGGTCCAGGAATAACCCCAAATAAGAACATGTTTTCAATCTTATATCGTTCCGCTAGAGGTAAGTTGAGGCAGACAAGGGCCACTGCACCAAGGGATACCGACTTTCCACCAGATTTATTTCCATAAGGATTGAACCAGTCGACGTAAAGGCTGAATACGAGGTTTCCAGATTTTGAAGTATATATTCCATTTGAGTTGGCAGGTCCCACCAAGGTCTTCCACACACTTCCATCCCAGACATCTTTCATCGTTCCATCTGTGGTATTTTCATTCTTGAGATTAGAATCTAGTAAAAGTTCAAAGCCAGGAAGCCAGAGTTTGTGTGCGAGCCAGTTCTTCAGTTTTTGAAAGCTGAATGTTCTAGTGGGATAAATTTTTGTCTTTTTTCCCGTTCCTTCAATATCCATTAATTTGGTATCACAAAATTTCACTTCATTTCCAATAGTTTTCAAGTACTTCTTTGATTCTGAGTAAAAAATTGATGTACATGTTGTTTTTAGTTCGGCCAAAGATTCATCATCGCTTTTCGGGATTTCTGGAATCGGATAAAGCTTGAAGCATTCAGGACAACAGATATCTTCCTCCAGCGTAACATCAAACCCAAGCTGCTGCATCAACTTTGATTTCGACAGAGGAATGTGACTGATAATTCTTGATGCACTGAACCCAAATTCTTCCGCAAGCTGATTCACTTTCTTTCCTTCAGTCTTCAAAAATTCAGATACCTTCTTGTCACTGACTCGATCAATCAGAGACATCTTAGCTGCTTGTAGCATTACTGTCAGACTGTGTTGAGGTACAAGCCGAAACAAATTTCCTTTTGACGATTCAGTGTCTACCACAGCACAGCCACTTGTTCCCGGACTTTGTTGAGTTTGATTTTCAACTATAATTTGATCTTGGGTCTTTGTTTAATTCCATAAAGTTAGTTGAAACACTCAGAGGACCAGGAAAAAATGAAAAATCACTAAACTTGACTCTGATGAACATCTTGTTGAATTGGTTCCACAGCCTTTTCCTTTTCTTCCCTGGTTTTCTTTTTTGAAATATCTTTTAAATGCTTCTTGATTGATGAAGCTGACCATGCCTTGCCTCTTTTCTCTTCACCGGTTTGAGTATCTTGATAGGTTTCCTGGTTGCACCCAAGCTCAGTACACTCGCATATCTGCCACCTGGGGTGCATGATTTGGTATAATAAGATGTTTGTTGTTGATCATGATAACCTTTATCTTCTTCTCCTATGAAACAAGTATCAAATATTTGTTATTGAATAAGATATGCATGTTACAAAATGTCACCTTTCATGTTGATTTTGTGACATGCATGCAAGTTTGCCTTCAATTTCCGATTTGATAAGCCCGCCGGTCTTATTTGAGTCTAACATGTCCCCGGTGTTACACAAACATGTCACAAATGCAAATCCAATTAAGAAGACCGGCGGTCTTATCAAGCTCAAGCTGGCACAACTAAGACCGGCGGTCTTATCAAACTCAATATGGTGCAAATGTCTTCACTTCATTCAAATAGATGTACTCTTCACATGGAATCCAAATGTTTTGATTGTACTGAAGAATTTATCACAGGCAATTTTTTTCTTCTTCCATCTGTTAAGCTTGCTGGTATTATCAATATCTACCCGTCATCACTTTTCCACATGTACAAATTCCTCGACTTATTCACACCAAAGATTCTGTGCTTGTGTATTTCATAGAAACCTCTCTACCCCAGCATCAATATTTTTGTTAGACATACTGATTTTTTTTATTTTTCCATCACAGCGCCCCAAACAAATCTAAGAATAGTTATCTTAGCTCCACAAAACCTAAAATCGATTCCCGACATGGTCAGATGCCTGAAGAACGGAAAAGCTCCGACCAATGACCGAAATCTCAACAAGGCTCTCTTTGCCATAATCCCTCCTCCGACATCTCATTTTTCCAGATCAATTGCCTCCTTCTGCAGAAATTTATTAGATATTGAGACACTAGACCAACAGGCCTGGCAAATTCCACCCACACTGGAACAGATTCAATATGTCAAAGACTTGCCTCTCAGCATCACTAGTCACCCTATTAAATCACAAACAAAGCTTTCACCCATCAAACCTGATGTTTTACATGGAATATCATCCGACTGTCGTAATCTGTTTCTTCGTGACATAAAAGCAACCAACTTCCCCCAGGCAACTTTTTCTTGGCACGAACCTTGGGAGTCTCACTGGAATCAACTCTTTTCTGCGTTAATAATGAAGCACTGGAATCATGGTCACAAGCACAATGCTTTTGCAAATTTCCCCATGAATTTATCACACAATACCCCATCAAATTTTAGGGCTGTATTGAAAAGGTGGTTCATGGGGAAAAGCTCTGACATACGACAGGGTAAATACACCAAGGAGGCCATGGAAAAGAAAGCTTACCAAGTGAAAAAGTCCAAGTGGCGCAACCAGGTTTGTTGGCTTGATGAGATTTCTTACCTCTATATCAAGCATTATCTCACTGAATTGTTCTAAAAAACAAATAGCTCTCCCAAAACCGCACGGAAATTCTTGGCCAATTAAACCTCCCACCAGAACAAGAAGACCTTTTCGCCGAACCAACATGCTGCTCAGACACAGAGCAAACTCCTGATGGAACCTTCCAGCGGATTCAATGCTCTTGGCGATCAAATTTATTTTCAGAACTCGGTCACGAATTGGACAAGTTCTTTGAAAGAAATAAATCTGAGAATCTTGGTCAAAGATACAATCAGCACGGTGTTTCTATTTGGCTACTCCGCCAAGGAAGCAGCATGCAGGAGAAAATTCTCAATGTACCCTCTGCACTCCCTCACAATTGCTACAACCCTACATTTCTTGCATCACTCAATGAAACAGACATCAACCTCTTGCAAATTCAAGCTGCAATTGATCTTCAAGCTATCATACAAAAGGTTTTACCATTGTAGGTATGTTGAAATCCCTTAAACCTAATTTTCACAGATTTTCTCCATCATTAATTTCTTCACCAACTCGAATTCAAGGTTTCCACACAGAGGCACACTTAGCCTGATTTTATATGGGTAGTCAGTTCACAAAATCTTCCCCTTAGAAAATTCAAATTGGAAGAAAAATGACCCACATTGCTAACTCTGCTTTTTTCCACTTGATTTGGAAAATGTGCCCCTCAATACTATTTTTGATGCAGTACCTCACCACTTGAACCCTCTCCTTTTGTCCTATTCGGTACAGTCTGTCTATTGCCTGCTCTTCCACTGCAGGATTCCATGTTGGTTCCTAACAATAAAAATTGCTCATCAGATTTTACAATTCATAAATTTATCTTTCCCCAACTTACCATCAAATACACCTTATGTGCACATCTAAGATCTATCCCCACACCCGCAGTTTTTATTGTAGCCAAGAGTACTTTACATGATACATCCCTCCGGAAATATTCCAAATTTTTCCTTCTAGTATCGTTGTCCATCTTTCCATAATGTGTTGTAAATTGGATTCCCCGTTCATTCAAAGCTATTTCAATTCTAAATACATAAAATATGTAAGTGACAGCTCAGAAATTTGATCCTGATTGTTTTTTGCAGATGGAATTAAAGAACTTACATTTGTAGAAACCTCTTGAACTCTGAGAAAATTACTGCTCGTGCTTGATTTCCACTTGCCAGGAACAGGGAAAGATCTTTCAGAAGATGTACAATCTTTGAGCTTTGATTCCAGAAGTATCCTCCTGTTCCTTTTTCTTTTTCAATCAATGCAGGGTGATTGCAAAGCTGTCGTAAATTTACTAGCTCCCCAAAAAAATGGCTTGAGTCCCATCCTTGGACTGAAAGTCGATTCTTCCCAAACTGCTCTGCAAAGGCTGCATGGTTCTTCTGGTATCTAATGTTCCAGGGTTTTTCAAGTTCAAGGTAGACAGTAATTTCACATTTTTCAGGAAGATCAAGCACAGTTGTTTTTAATCGCCTCATGCTGATACCCTTCATGATACTCTGTAATGTCAAGATTCCTTGTGGATTGCCCAACTGGACTGGTCCTTCCACACATTGCTTCCAAATTGAGTTGTTTGTCCAGGGCTCAATTTGAAGAAACTTTATCAAGTTGTGAAGGTCACCAAGCTGATTTTGCAAAGGTGTTCCTGAAAGACATAATCTTCGTTGGGCTTTCAAACCTAAGAGGGAAATGCTCCTGTTGGTTTTTGGATCCTTCATATAACTACACCTTGATTTCAGTATTATATCATATATTAAATTCAATATTTCTGAAGTGACTCACTGTGCTTCATCAAGTACAATTCGAAACCATTCAATGCTAGAGAAGTTCAAGCCCACCATTTCCACACGGGAACCTTGCCTACTACTTTCCTCTTGATTGCTTTCCACCCTTCTTGGTATCAAAATGGACTCATATGTTGCCAGTACAACTGCTACTTTAGCTATATCCTCAAATTTTATCAAAAATCTTTCTTTTCCATAAAAAACTTTGAAAGGGAGACTGCCTTCAATGAAATGTACCTTGATCTCATTTTTCCAGTTCTCTAATGTTGAGAGTGGGCATATTATTAATGTTGCTGAGCTCCGCATTGCATTTTCTACATTTGAAGGTTGATTGGAGAAATTAATTGCTTCTTGACTGGAAAGTTGAATAGTGGATAGGGTAGTCAAGGTCTTCCCAAGGCCCATGTCATCTGCAAGAATACACCCTTTTGAATCAAATTTGATTGTGCTATTTAGATTTCCTTTCTGAACAGCCCCCTTGAAGACATCTTGAACCCATTGATTATCTTGATGATTCCATATTTCAAGTGGTATTGATACAATATTGGATTCACTACGTTGAATGAAATGTATAGCTTGGACTTGATGATTCATTAGCTTTGTTTTGCAGCCTTGGACTTGCGTTGAATCTGTGGCTTCTTTTGAGAGTTGTAATTCTAAGTCTTTGGTCTGGGGAACACCATAAAAATGACTAGGCTGGTAGCTAGGTATGTGATTGAGCACAAGATTTGCCTTGTCAAAATCATGCCTCACTTCTGATATCCAGTGAGATTTAGTAAATACGAACCCATGAATAAATGAAGAATTTTCTAATGGTGCATGTACATAGAAAAGACGGAGATACAGTCGCTTTTTGGTATTCTCAATTGATGCTTGTGTGAGTGGTTCTGACACATCACCTACCTCACCAATCAATGGACCTAAGGCTTGGCTTCCTTTGATATCTAGATCACCAACCCTTTCATAATTTGAGCAAAGTATATGTAGATTAGACCTTCCACGATGGAACACTGCATCTCTGAGACCATATGTTGTCGGAGTTGTGTTATCACAAAGGATGACTGGGGAAGTAAAAAAACCCAAGCAAAACATTGCAGGAAATTTTCGAATTATCGCATATGAGAGTGATCTGAGATTGTGTTGTGTTGATTGTGAATAAATGGTGTGCTGATAGTCCAATGTGGGGTTTGGTAAGAGAAGTGGCAAAAAAACTCGAAGTGATGCAATATTATATCAAACACACCTAACACATCAAGAAAAGCTGGGATGCAGGGAAATGTGGGACATTGGATGGATTCTCTGAAACTTTGTAAGTTGTTTGTTTCACCATATAAACTTAAGTCCACTTGTGATTTATTTTTTTTGTGCTTATCCTCATGTAACAAATTCCAAGTGTGTCAAGTCTGTGGTGCCACCTTATCTACTGAATATGGATGAATTATAAAACAAAACAAGTTCCAATTGATAGGTAGATGAGTTTTCACAATGCACATATACCTTGGTGTCTCAGATCAAATTCACTAAGATTTTTATTTTTACATCCATTTTCGATAACAAAAAATCTAGAAGGTGAAAAGATTTTTGGTCCAGAATGAATAGTTTGGCAAGGATTCAAGTTGCAATTACATATGACCCATCAAAAATCAGTGAAGACTCAAATAAATCACATTTATGACTTCCAGCTCTACTTGTCATCTTGGAATATTTCCCTGAAAGTTAATTGTAACAGTATTTCAATTCATGTTGTCATTGAAGCAATATTGAAATTCTTTGGTGGATGAAGACAATCCAAATTCAATATTTTCCACTTAATTGAAAGGAATCCACAAAAAGCTTTGATTAAATATGAATTCTGTGTCTTGTTTATACCATTTCCTTTTTTAATCTGTTCAATTGTTGATTGAGCTTGATAGTCGTGGGGCAGCTCATACTTCTGATACAAATTGTAAATTCTTTGATAGAAATCAAAATACTTCAATCCAAAATAAAAAAAAGGAACATGCCAACAAGCTCATGTATTCCAAGAAATCACACTTAACATTTTTTGTGAGAATCCATGTTTTTATATAATAATTTGACTGTTTTCATTCCATTTTATTGGAATGAAATTGCATTCCAACTGAGTTTTCATTCATGGATAACCAAAAAGGAATATTGGAATTTCTTTGAAACAAAGGTCTTTAAGTCAAACATTCATTAATGAAGAATTCCCTAATAAATCATGTAGTTTCTGTTGTGCCAGTAAGAATGGTTTATTTTCATAGCTTGATAAAATTGCAGCACTTTTGACTAATTGATGATTGAACTTCAAGACATGGATATTAATTTCCTAGATGTTTTTCTTAAAATTTGATTTTAAATGAACCCAGCTTAGACATTGGGATGCCCACATATCCATGATAATTTCAGCCTGTTATTCACTTGAGTCTCTCATTTTTACGCAGTAAAACTCAAAAATTTGTACTTCTCACCCAATAAAATAGTAATCTGACAGTAATTATTTGAAATTAAAAGTGAGAATACCTTAGAAATATCTGCAATGCAAAATACATTGACTACATGCCATAAAGAAAAATAATTGATGGTACCATATGTGATATCATTTCATACATTAAATTTAGCACAAGGGATACTTTGTTTTTGTCCCAGGTTGTCATGAAGAAAGAGGTAGTAGGAATTTTATTTAAACATTTTGTTGAACTGGTCACAGTCATAATTTTGCCATAATTGTGACTCTTTTTGAGTGTATATTTGCAATGAGATTGATTAATTATCAAGTTTATGATCTGATTCAATTATTTTGTAGATGAATTTGATATCCAATCAATTTTGTGGCTTCCTGTGATAAGGTTCATTTGAGGAAGGAGTAGGCTTTTTGTTTGAAAAAAATGTGAAAAGATTACCTTATCTGGAAATTTCTATAATAAATTTGTTGATGCTGGTCAGTGGAGGGGATTCTTTGACATATTTTCTTGCACTTCCTTAGCTTAAAATTGATAATGTATTTTGTATGGGAGTGAGAAAAAAAATTTGAACATGATATAGTGAATTGTTACATGATCTGCATAATTAGCTTTTCAATTTGCAGCTTTATTCACAAAGAAGGGCCAGGAAATTTCAAAAAGTGGTAGTTTGACTTCTCAATCAAAATTAGGTCAGATAGTATGCAATAAAATGAAAACTGCATGATGTGTGATGAGTTCTGAATCTTCTTTATGAATGCTTTCTGTCAGTATGATTTTTTATCTAAGTTCAATGTCATGAATTTGATTTCAATATGTGGGCTAGATTGATAAATAATCAGACTCTCCTATCATATTTATCACTCTTTGAAATGCTGAATCATTTCCAAAAATTGATCTCATTTCATTGTACATTCAGAAGCTCTGAGTTTAGCTACAAGGCAGAAAGGGATTTCAAAGTGTATTCAGATGATAGGAGTGGTGGGAAATTTTCAGTGTAGGTATAGATATAATCTTGTAGATAGACATACATGTGGGATTCAATTCATACAAATCCCAATTAAATTTTTGCATACAGGAGGGATAGAGCTTTAGATATAACCCCTGATGAGTTTGGAGAATGGTCAAAGTTATTGTCTAACATATGCCCAGGATATGAATTGGATTCAATGAGGCACCTGCATGCAGGTTCCAACTTTTTTTTCCTGGTGTTAGAATCTGTCCAGTCTTATTTTAAAGCTCCCATGTGGCATGGATAAATATTGAAGATTAGACAAAACAAGAGGTTGATCCTTACTTTACCTGCAATCTTCACCAATGTCTCATCGGACATGTGTTTTCCTTGAGCAAGTGGGCAATAGGCTTGTAATAGGATATTATTGCGCTGACAGTAATCAACGAGCGATTTTTGTTGGAACCAAGGATGCAATTCAAGCTGAATACACAGATACCAATGTGTTATCAGCAAGTATCCAAGGGATCAAGATGAAAGATGAAGTCGAATGACGAACTTGATTGACCGCAGGCAGCGGTCCCACACCAGCCTTTTGCAGTTCTTCCAGATGGTGCACCCCAAAATTAGACACCCCAATTCATTTTACATCTCCCTTCTTTTGAGCCTCAGCTATGAGATGGCCACAAAAGAAAACAGGCTGTGAGGCTAAATCAGATAAGACGAAAGACGAATATAAATCATCCTTACCTAGCACAGCGTAAGCCTGGTGTCGTTTATTCGGTTCACTGAGCGGTTCGTGCAACAGAACTAAATCCCAAGGTTTGTTCGCAGTGTGCACGAGAGATTCACGTAATGCTTCTTCGCAAGCTTCCTTGCCATGCTTAGTCCCTGGTATTTTGGTGGTCAGGAATATGGACTCCCATCCACTTTCGCTATACAAAAGACGAAGAAACAAGTTAACGAGCAACCGAGATGATGGCACTAGCAGTATATATGGAACCTCTCAAATATAATTCTCTACCAGCTATAATAAAAACAAAGCGAAATCCCACCATTTCTGCGCGGCCTGAGCAACGGCAGCTTCGGTCCCATAACTTTGTGCTGAGTCAAGATGACGGTAGCCAATCTTGATGGCTTCGTTACATGCCTCTTCGGCATTCCGTAATGAGGAAGTTCCAAATCCCATGCATGGTATTTGGTGACCTTAATAGTCAAATGTGAGAATAACACGCATGAGTCAAGATGTGGTTCAAGCCTTGTAGTTCTACTGGATTAAGCTTAAGATGTCAGAATCATTAGCCTCACCTGAATTCAACGTAATGCGACTTTCTATGGTAAGTGTATCTGCAAAGTTCATGCTGGGGTTGAAAGCAGAGCCCTCTGATGCAGCTAAACCGAAAGAAGACATTGTGTACTCAAATTAAGCTACCTGATCAGATGGGTTGTAGTGTACGCCTGCTGACCTGGCTAGGGAGATTAATACCATTGGCTCGCGGTTTATATGGCACTCGAAAAAGTATGCCCGCACCTGCACCCAAGGCTCACATTGCCTTCACAAAGGTGAACATATAGCTCCTACTGGGAATACAGGGTAGCAGAGTTGAATTCATGCTGTCACAAAATCACAATCTGATCGATGATCGGGTGCCGCCGGTGGGCATCCGACAAAGTCAATCATAAGCGTTCGGTACGGCATTGATTGATTCCAATCCGTGAAGATTTACACTCATCGTTGAGCGAGGAAAAATCGGAACGGTCGTTCAGGGCAACCACTTTGGCAGGACTTGTCGTGGTTCCAACTTTGCCCGACTTGCGACCTGAATGATGCAGCTTGTCTTCCATGTGTCCCTGATGACCTCCGCGGGTACATACCTTCGGCAAAGCCTCGAAGGTACCCTCCAGGAGTCTGCGGAAGTGAGTCAAGTCAGGCATCCGGTCCCCTATGCGGGGCGTCCCCGCTTTAAAGAAAGCTTTACACGGCCGGAGTTCCTGCGAGACAAATCACCACACCCTCCGAAACTGCACGCAGAAGGTTCGATGAAGTAGCTGCACCCTCAACTGCCCGGTGGTTTTACTGGCTCTCCGGGTTAGTTTGTCTCCGAAATTGACGTCGCCCCACACTGCCAATCCAAAAAAGAGTGATGAAATATGGAATAACGTTTGAACTTCAAGATAAAGATGTCCACAACCACTCCTGATTGGATGTGCGGCCGATTCCAGCTGAACTTCCTAGAGCTTATTCAATTGGGAAGATGGTGAACACTGAAAACTAGCCTGCAATGAGGTTCAGCATAGCAGGCTTGAAAGATAAAACCAATCCCCGCAAGTCGAAACTAAGACTGCTTATACGGTGATAGGAAGGCCTCCGCGGTTTGTTGCTCCCACTGGAGGACTTGCCGTGGCCAATTAGAGCAGTTTTCAAGCCCTCCCAAGTCCTAAGTTACCACCCCAACCTTGATTTCAACCATGTCACATGAGACTTGTTTCTACAAGGCTTGTAAAAACATTTTTGTTGGCCAAAAATTAAGATCTAGGGGGTGTAAATTGATTTCTGGGAGGGTTCTAGATTGTGTTGGGAAATCATCCACTAGTAAGAGTGAAGAATTGAAATCTAGACCCACAAGAACAGACAAGATGCCATCCCTTGTTTGAAATCCAAACTGCACAACAGATTCATGTATGCTTGCTGTTTTTTACAAAAAGAGAAAAAAAACTGAGCAAAAGAAAAAAAGATTGACTCCCCAAAAAACCTTTCTAGTTGGCCTATGGAATATTATTGATGTGGGGCCAGGATGATTCAGTCCAGGAAGCAGTGTTCTTCAAGCATGTCCAACCTTTATTCAGTAATATCTAATCTTGATTAGATTCAAATTTCAAACTTTCCCTGAGAAATCCTATTTCTTCCATCAATAATCACTCATTCTCCACAGATCAATCAAGCTGTAACAAGATCAATGATTAGTCTCATAGTCAACAATCCAATTTGACAACCAATCTGCAAATGATTTGCCTTGTTGATTCTGAAAAAAAAAAACTGGAAATCTGAGTCTCAAAGGCCTCTAATTGACTGTTTTCCCATATTTTGACATACAATATATGTTATACTTTCTTGACTGCATCACATGATATTACAATTTTTGAGTTTGGCTGAAAAGGTGTGGGAGCATTGGAAATTACAAAAAAACAGACAAATTAATCATCCTCCATCAAAAGGTGAGGCAATTCAGTTGCAAGTCCCTCCCCTTGGTCGGCAACAAATGCATCACACCCACTTCCAAAGGGGGTACTTGAATACCGTGGTTGAAATCATCAGGTCCTTTTACTGGGATAGTGACCCTTTGCTCTAGCTTTTAGATTGTGATTAAGTCATTCCAAATATTGTTGGGTATGTATGTATACTGTCAGTGCCAGTCTCTTGTGTGACCTGGCGTTGATGGGATAATGGGTCTTACTATAGCCTTGTAAGGCCAGTAGAAATAGAACCTCACCTCAACGCTAGGAAGCGGAGGGGTTAGCTCCCTGGGTTAGAGGGGACAACAGTGGAATGAGCATCACCGTGCCAAGCTCAGAGTGGTAATATACTCTCTTCTAGACTACATTAATGACTTAACTGTAGTCTAGGATGATAGAATAATAATAGAGATGAAAATTAAAGAGGAAAGGGGAGAGTGTACTTCTAAAACCCCACTCACTAATGTTAAGTAATGTAAACGGGTTTGTATGGCAATAATCTCTGGGGGAAGGAATCCTAGAGGGAAAGCCTTCCCCTTAAGTATTTTAAGGCAGGGTTCAGGCTGCCTGTTGGACCGGACAGGTCCACAGATGATCATTTATGTATTTAAATCATAAATGATCAAAATATGTATTTAAATTATGATCACACCAAAAGTGGAGGAAATGACATCATCTCTCTCTCTGGGTGTATCAATACAGAGAAAGATAAATAATTAAATCCCCATTGGTAATCATCTCTCTCATTACAGCAGATAATCAAGAGAGAGATGACTAAGCTTTTAATACATTTGTATAATATTTATTTATTAAATAAGTATAGAATAAGATACCAAGGACACTGGGACTCAGGTACATCCATCAAGATATATCTCATCCTTTTATGTGGTCATTGAACCACTAAACTAAATCAACTCATGGAAATATGAGCCAATGCAGACATTTGGACGTGTCCTACATGACATATACAGTATATGCACACATATTAGGACGGTTCACGTCTGAACTTTGAGTGAAATTTCATGACATTTATCATTAAAATCTTACAAAAAAACCTCAAATTTCTCCAAGCCTGCAGATGCTTAATGAGATTGGACAAAATTCATAAAATTTCATCTACAAATTAGGGTTCTGATCCAGACCCAAAAGATCCAGTGCTACCCAACCGGATACCGGGTTGGGTTGGGTCATGGGATGACTCTAGACATACCCTATCCAATTGGGTCTGTACTTGCCTAAAATTCTGCCCTGTATGGCAGAAATTTGGGCTTTTTGGGGGTTTTGGACCCTCTTTTTTCAAGTTTTTTTTTTTTTTTTTTAAATCAAGAATTTGTTTTGGACTCTCCCAAACCGTTTGGTGAAGTATGGGCTGGAGGCTCAGATCCGGGAGCCGGATATGTTGGGTTTGGATCTCGGGAAGGAACCCAGAGGCCAGGATTGGAACCCTACTACAAATGTGCCAAAAATTGCCTTGAACTTCAGACGTGAACCAGCCTATTAGATTGGAGGCTTTTTCTTTTTCCTCTTCTTCCTCTGGGGTTCTTATCCTGGTCACGTAGAACTGAAGAAAACGGTGTGCAATTAGAACCAGGATGAGATGATAGTTGGATGAATTGTCAATGTCCCAGTCGGCCCGACCCCCGAGGAAGTAGCACATGCGCTGGTCGGGTTGTCGTCGGGGACATGGCGCGGGGGCCAAGAGCCATCTGAGTTGCTTGCGTCATACAACCTCATTTCGAGCCAACCCAACCCAACAACCACTGCTGTCAGAAAATCAACCCACTTCCAACCAGACCGACGACCTCGACCAGAAGATCAAGAAGGAAAAAAAAAGGCCGCAACGTAGACTGTTGGTTTGTGAAGAACTGAAAAAAAAAAAAAACAAGTGAGAAAGAGGACTCAGAATGGAAGAGATCGGCATTCAAATCGATAAGGAGGCAACTGTTGTAAATTATTTTTTTCCGTTTTTGTTGATAAGAATCAGCTCACTAATCTATGACTTGATCATTCATGTTTCTCGTAGGATCCTACGTTCCCTTCAGTCCTTGATGAGAAGGCGGTCCTGGCTGCTCAGTTACATTCCGAAGATGACGTCTACATGAAATTCAAGAAGCTCCAAAAGCATCTCGAGTAGGTTATCCCGATGCAAACGCCCCCGGTCCCCCAACTATATCCCTTCGATCCAGATGTTCACATCTTTTTTGTTTTTTTCTGACTGTAACTTATTATGTGACGTGTATTGATTTACAGGTTTTTAGAACTACAGGAAGAATACATCAAAGATGAACAGAAGAACTTGAAGCGAGAATTGTTGAGGGCCCAAGAAGAAGTGAAGCGAATCCAATCGGTCCCATTAGTGATCGGACAATTCCTCGAACCGATCGACCAGTTTACTGGGATCGTGGGATCGACAACCGGATCCAACTATGTGGTCAGGATTCTGTCTACGATCGATCGGGAACTATTGAAGCCATCTAGTTCGGTGGCGCTACATCGACACTCCAATTCGCTCGTTGATGTTCTTCCTCCTGAGGCTGATAGTAGTATCAGTATGCTCGGCTCCGAGTTAGTGTCTTAACCCGTATCCCTGATCGCATATACCTTGCTGACTGCGTATTCTTTACTACTTGAATGGAAATAGTGAGAAACCTGATGTAACATACAACGATATCGGAGGGATGGACATTCAAAAGCAAGAGATCCGAGAGGCCATCGAACTTCCGCTGACACACTTTGATCTGTACACGCAGATTGGGATTGATCCACCACGAGGGGTACTACTCTATGGGCCTCCAGGGACGGGGAAGACGATGCTAGTGAAGGCGGTAGCGAACCATACGACGGCCTCGTTTATCCGTGTGGTCGGCTCGGAATTCGTCCAAAAGTATCTCGGAGAGGGCCCGCGAATGGTGCGAGATGTCTTCAGACTGGCGCGCGAAAACGCTCCGGCAATCATCTTTATCGATGAGGTCGATGCTATCGCCACCAAACGGTTCGACGCTCAGACCGGTGCTGATCGGGAGGTCCAACGGATCTTGCTCGAGTTATTGAATCAAATGGATGGATTCGATCAAGGTAGTAATGTCAAAGTGATCATGGCTGTAAGTGGCTTGGACAATACTCATCCTTATCTCCCTTACAATCGATGTCTGACACCGGTCCGTCTCTCTCTTTTTGTTTCTCTCTAGACTAATCGAGCAGACACACTGGATCCCGCCCTATTAAGACCGGGAAGATTGGATCGAAAGATCGAATTTCCATTACCATCTCGTCGGGAAAAGCGACTGATTTTCCAAGCTTTGGCGAGCAAGATGAGCTTAGGAAATGATGTTGATCTCGAAGATTGTAAGAATTTTTTATTTCATCTGACTATCATCACAGTTTTCTGATGGTCTATTTATATTAACTTGAATGATATCTTGATCTTGATGTTAGATGTCCAACGGCCCGACAAGTTATCTTCAGCGCAAATCTCCCAAGTTTGTCAGGGGGCTGGATTACAAGCCGTCCGAAAGAATCGATACGTTATCTTACCGGTCGATTTCGAGGAATCATGGAAATCGGTTGTCAAGAAGGGAGAAGATACTCATGCATTCTATAGATAGGATTAATCAACACCATTTAAAATTGGTGATTCTGTTTTAAATGTAAAAATATTGATCGTTTGATAGAAGATAGTCATCTCTTTCAGGGGTTTGATTGCATGGGAGTTGGAGTGAGGTAATTAAGATATGAGTGGAATTGTCAAGAGAAGGATACAGAGACTTGTTCAGATTCAATTAGCCGTTCACAATCTTGACATGATCAAATTGCATGTTTGTTCAGATACAAGAATCTGGAAAGCATCTTGACATCCATCTCATGAACGACCATTCTGCCCGTTGTCTTGTTTCTGATTCTGATGGATACTTTCTCTACTCTGTTATACGGACAAAGGCTGTGTTTGTTTTGTCTTTTGTTGCTTCTTCCTTGATTTTTTTTTGTTTAGAAATAGCAGTGTATGGTTTACTAATTCTCTCCAACGGGATCAGTAACCACATCATCAGCATGCTAATTATATTGACTTAGCCAGCTGCCATGTGAGTATTGTGTTAAGCAAAGCCAGTTGGTGTTTTCCCAGGTGAATATGTAGATAGCTTTCTTGTGAGCTGGGTATTTAAAGAAGACCATTTACATGTGTGTGTGTGTGTGGGGAGACAGACAGACTGCAGCTGTACCGACGACGGCGTTGGGATAGGATGGATTGATTAGTTTGGTTTATGAAGAGATGAGATTGGGTCTAGTGAGTCTGATCGGAGACTGAACGATGTTCCGACTAGCACCAAGACGGACAGCACCAGTCTCAGCACGACTCTCACTCCACACCCAACCACCACCACCACCACCAACACCCAAGAAGGACAAGAAGGAGAAGGAACCAAGCAAGCTACAGTCACTCCTCAACTTGGACCATATCCTCTACGATCCTATCCGCATACCGAGACATCCAATCGTCCTCTGTCATGGCCTGTACGGGTAAGAAGTACCCTAGACTTAGACCAAAACAAAAAAGCAATAACAATAACACAAAGGATGATTTATGAACAGGTTTGCCGTCCGAGGCCCGAGTTCGTTTCCGAGGTTTCAGATCCATTATTGGGGCAAGCTCTTAGAGATCCTACGGAGCCGACTGGGCGTGAAAGTGATCGTGGGCAAGGTGCCGCCGACGGGGACGATCGAGGAGCGGGCGGTCGAGCTCGACAAGCTCTTGCAGTCCCAGCCCAACACTACCAGACGGCCGCCGAAATACAACTTCATCGCGCATTCCATGGGCGGTCTCGACGCCCGATATCTGATCTCTCATCTTAATCCTCAGACGTATACACCCATCAGTCTCACTACTATCTGCACTCCGCATCGGTATCGTCAAGTCTCTCCTTCTCGTTCTTATCCTCTTCTCTGATCAAGCGTCTTATAAATTTATACTAATCCCAAAAACTAACGACTATTCTTTCTCTTTTTTTTTTGGTGTAACTTGTCAAAAAAAAAAAACAAAGTGGCTCACCCTTCATGGATTGGTGTCGGGCCAATATCGGGGTCGGATTGAGTGCCACGGAGGCGAGTCAAAAGCGGGTGCCGTTCTCACTGAAGGAGCCCTTACTGAGACGGCCGCCGGAGCCGCTGGGATATCTGCCGAACAACCTGCTGAAGGTGCTGTTGCTGAACCTGTTAGATTCGCCGGCGTATTCGAATCTGAGCACGGACTATCTGACGGGCGAGTTCAATCCGCGCACACCCGATCGAGCCGGGGTGGAATACTTCAGCATTGCGGCCAAGATCGGGAAGAACGGATTGAGTCTGATCCATCCACTCTGGTTGCCCGGACTGCTGATCGATCGGTTGGTCGAGACCCACGAACAGGGAAATCATGACGGCTTGGTCACCGTTCAGAGCGCGCAATGGGGCCGCTTCTTGGGCACCATCGTCGGCACCGATCATTGGGAAATCAGAGGCTCCTCCGCATTCGGCGCCGAAATCCTGCCCGAACAACCTGATGACGACCATCTACTCAACCTTCATGCGAAATCTAATTGGCTCGAACTTAATCGTTACATCGGCTCCTGGCTCTCCTCCTCCGACAACTCTACTAACTCTCAGAAGCTTTCGAAACACAACACATCTTCTAAAAACTCCGATTCCCATTCTTCGTCTGATTCTTCGGATGCTGCTCTCCATAAGATCTTCGATCAACAGACTCTTTCGACCCGCCTCCTCGCCGACTGGATCGCCAAAAAACTGCCCCTGAATCTCTACCCTTCTCAACCCACCCTCGCCACCTCGTCTTCTTCTTCTTCTAGCTCCTCCTTTTCTACTCCTCATAAGAATCCTTCTTCTTCTTCTTTGAATACTTACTCTAAATATCCGTTTACGAATCCTACTCGTACCGTTCATCCTCAATTTCCTCTCGACGATCTCGATCTCAATCATCATCAACACAACAACAACAATAATAGTAATCAGAAAAATTCGGCTAATGGCTTCGATATCGAGAAGTTTTATTTGGCCGTTCTGAGAAATTTATACGATCATGGACTTTGAAAAACACTTATATAACTCTTTCTCGACGGTTTCATTCTTAAGGCTACATATTATTATTATTTCTTATTTATTTCTTCATATATTTTTCTTTTCTTTGAAAGTAATCAAAAAAAAATTGAAGCTTGTCTATCGATATTAACTGTCGAAGAAAAAAAAACCACTACCGATGAGTCCCTAATGAGTAGAGGCAAAGTTGCTCAAGGACAAGTCCCGATGCCTTGTAAACCATCAGCGAGGTGGAAAACAGGTATATAAGTATGTGATTTGTGAGGGCTTATGTCCATTTTTTTTTTTTTTTGTTAATCCACTTGTCAACACTGTGTCTTCATCTACATGCCCATCACAAGGTAAGAGACTTGTTTGGTTACAGTCCGGCGGAGGAAGACAAGACAGGCAATTCTATTGAAAATCTCGCGTGGTCCGGCATCCCATTAGGAAACTGGAATGGCACGTTTGCAAGTAAGATCAAGTAGCTTGACTCTTTGCAAATAAACTTGCAAGACAATCACCATAACTGCGAGATTCAATTGATCTTATCTTAACATATAAAGCGCGTGACCAATCTACATTCACTGCTAAGATTTCGACATAGTACATACATGTAATTGACATTTTCTTCATTGGAGTTTATATATATATACTCGAGATAAGAGTGATTTTGGTTAACGAAACATACACCCATACAAAAAAGGTGTGAAGAGGGGGGGGAGGGACAGGGATCTCAGTATGACAAGATCTTTTGATGAATACAACATGAAGGAATTCAGCGGAAAAAAGAGAGAAACGTGTTTTTGTTTTTCTCACGCAGGAGAAAGGATGGAAAGCTCGATGGCACGTTGGACATCCTTTCTCTTATGGTGATGGCCTTCCGGAACGGGAGGATGGATAAGTTTAGGGATCATGTGAAGCGCGCCGCCCCAGGCGACACCGTCAGGAATAACGACTGGAATGGCATGTTTGTCTGGCGGTCCAAAGGTGAAACCTTCTTGGTGGGACTTAATGTAGACGCGTCGGATGATCGGGCCCCTAGGAGAACAAGACAAAAAAAAAAACTCAATCTCTCGGTATCATTATAATCACATCAGGAAACCTGTGGGACTCACTTTCCAAGGTGTCTAAATTTCACCAAAGTCACCGGCAAGGTCTCATTCTTACGTGAGCCTAATAAAGTTGCCAAGTGCAACTCGGTACTGTTGGGAAAAGAAAGTGACCAGCATGAGTCTCTCGCAATTGATAGCAGAGCAGAGATCTAGAAGCTTACACATTGACTTTGCCAGGAAGGGGTGGGAATGGGTGATGATCGATTCGTCCAGGGAACTGGTCGGCTTCATAGGTTTGCGCATCCAAGTCACAGGGCATTGGAGGAACCCCGGCCTTAGTGCGCTCGCAATGATCAGTGTTCCAGATGACATCGGGTACGATGTGGTAGGACAAGACATAGCGAAGGATGTGCTGGCCGAAGGGAGAAAATAAGAATGCATTTGCTGCCGGTCCAAGCGTACGGAAGGCACTGCAAAAGATTGGTTGATGCAGTTATCATTAGCTTGGTCCGATACGAAAACATGCTCCAGTAGCAAGACTGCAACAATTGAGCTTACTGGTTGGTAGGCGCAAAGACGGTGAACTTGGCTTAATTAACTTCCCACCGTGACCACCAGTCAAGCTGGACAAGACGCTCTGGACCCTTTCGTCAACGACATCAAGACTCTCGTCCAAAGCGGAATTGGGGACCAATGATTGAGCGGAAGAATCGATGGACAAGGGGATTGTCTTATTCTCCCATCGGGGCAATAAGCTGTGATCGAGGTGAGTTTTTTGGAGGGCACTCGTCAAGGTAGAGAACGGTCTGGGAAACAAGAACAGCTCCGAAAGCGGTGAGAGTGGCGGGAGGAGAGGGACCTTTTCGACAAGGTAAATCACGCCGTTCTTTGTCAAAATCGGTCGATGTTTGATCACATTCAACTTGGTAAAAAAGTTGAGGACAACTTCTCCAGGCTTGCTAAGGTGGGGCATAGCCGGACCGACTCTCACTCGGAATCGCGTCGCGTTCGAATCAGGCCTACAAAAAAAACAGCGATAGTGAAGATCTGAGTCAAAAGATTAAACTTGACGGCTACAGTCAACAAAAACACGTACAAGATTGGCAGTACGGTTGGAAGGGTGCTGCTGTCAAGAATCTCGTGAATCTTCTTACTGCCAGGTGAAAGATGGTACTTGAGCACCATCTCAACAGCATGGAGGAAGAATTTTTTCTTCCTCTCCTTCTCGTCATCTTCACCCTCAGACCACAGGTCCATATGTGGGCAATCACGCATAGATTCGATTGCCTCGAGGGCGTCCCAGAAGAGATGAGTAGACTCTCCATGGGAAGCTTCATCCACCGATGGGGCATCGAAGGGGTTGTTGATCGCTTGAGCTTGTTTCAAGTGATGTCTCTTCTTCGAAGGAGGGGTGAGTGCATCATCATCCGGGGCGAAGAGGGTGAAATCCGCGTCAGGATTGTAGAGCGCCTCTTGGACTGGGTGGGAAATGTTGACGAGCCATGCGAGTCGGTGGAGGGGAGGAGGCACAGAGTCACTGGCACACTCATCGGAGGATGGAGGGCTGTTGAAAGATGACCCGTCGGGCTTAGAAGTACGTTTAAGAATCCACTCGAAGCTGTGGACAACAAGAACGGATGATAATGATCAGAACTGAAGAAGTCGCGATTGTTTTATTTTGCCCTTGTAAAGAATCGAATTCAGAGAGAGCCATACTTACACCTCTCCCATGGTGTACTTGGTGCAATCGACCGGTTTCCCGAGATGGTGGTGATGGTTGTCACGACGAGCAGGAGCACCCAAGAGGGAGAGTGAGTTGACGAGGCCTTGTAGGAGACCGAAGAAGGAAGTGGGGGAAGGGTTAAGAGAGTGCTGTACAAGGCATTCGGCTGGATCGAAGGTCTGCTGGCAAAGACATGGGAGCCTTAGGTTGCTCGTTTGCTTGATGGGACTCGGAATAGGTGAAAGACTCGTCAGACCAGAGATTGTTGTTCTCCTGCAAGGATGGCGGGAGTTGATTGGTAGGCTGGACTTGGAAGGCTAGGGGAGACGGGGAGTCCACCGGGCCAGCAGCAAGCTGGTTGGTGAGGAAAGAGGCAGCGTACAGCCATGACACCAGGCTGGACGAAGACAACATGACCAGTTCACTGACTGTTTATTTGTTTATATTCGGTTGATGGAGGGGTGGAGGGGGAGGGGAGGATGGTCAAGAGGAGGAGAGAGATGGATGGATGGGTTTTAATGTAAATATTTGTAGCCAGGGCTGAATCCTGGCAGCAGCTTGGTGATCGAGAAATCCAAAAGTAAAATTTAAATTTAATCTGGATGGCTGACCACGCCGAGAGGATGATGATCACCGGAAAAGAGGCCCAGCCCCCTTTGTTGGTCCCTCAAGACAAGCACCGCCTCTCGCTCGCACTCCCATCACAAGCATTGGCAAGAGAGAAAGCACTGCCTTCCTGCAGAGGCTTCGACGGGTGAGCTTCAGAAAAAGAGCTAAACTGACTGACTGACCGGATCGAGAACAAAAGATAGAGGATATCCACCGATCATCATACTTGAAGCCATCGATCTTCCTCTCGGCCAAGGATGACGTCATAATCTGATATCCTTAATTTCACGCTACAATAAATATATATCCGAGCACTCAAAATGTAAGACCACCCTCGCTGCTCCAAGTTGACAGACCGACAATCAGCCCCCTCAACCATCACAGTTCAACATCTCCAGCGATATTAACAACGAGGGTGACCATCGCAGCACTTAAATCCAGGCGGAAGATCTTGCATCTTGGAGACTTGGTCTGGACTCTGGGCGAGGATGTGAAGAGACTGATTTGAAAGGATTGGTTGGTTGGGTGTAAACAAGTACATAACCCACTAAACCATCTATAACGAAGTGCTTTTTTTATTGATAAGAGTCTGAGAGAGATGGTTGTGAAAGTCGAGTCCATCGATCACATGGACATAAATATCAGGAAGCAGCCTATGTAGTGCGATCAAGGAATCTACTGGACAAACAAACTGGGTTCAATCATCGTGCTTCCAATCAATAATCAAGACGAGAAAGCTGGTCGGCTCATGGTGAAAGATGGGGAAAAAAATGAGGCCGAAAGGGTCTGCATAGATATTAACACTTCGATTTTCAATCTCTCGGGCCGGCCTTATTTATGTATTCCGCCAAAGGTAGAAGAAACAAGTTATCCAACACTTGTGGTTCTTTGTTGGTCAGATATTTCAATCCAAAGTGGATGACTCTTTGCTATTTCGATAAGTGATGTATATAGATGTGGTGACTGTGTAATCCAAGTAACAGTTTAAAATGCATGCTTGTGCTCCGATTCTCGGTAGAAAGACTATAGGGATATATGTACATGTATGCAAAAAAGAAGATCGATCGGAGATCATTTATCCCTCATCATTCATCATCATCTTCAGCATCGAATTCAAAGCCGTCGGCCCGAGCGTCCTCGAGACTGAGCTCGAAGTTATCCTTGACAACTCTTAATATATCTTTGAGGATATCTAGTTGACCTATACATACCAACCAAACAACAAAACCAATAACGTGTTAGAAAAGACAAGTAAAAACAAACAAACAAACAACGTGAATAGCAGAGGTAAAGAAAAGATGGGGTAAACTGAGATTACCTTTCGAGTAGATTTCGATCATCCGTTTGACCGGTGCCCTGACCTGACTCCAGTCGGCATGTGGATGAAAAACATCAGAAGAACTGAGGGCATTGAGCTTGTGAGAGAACAAGGAGGAGAGACAATCCAAGCAATTCAGCTCGTTCTCCCAGTTCAGTTTCTGATCCATAGCAGCAGTAAAGCGGTCCAAGAACTCCTTGGAAGATTTCAGCCGGAGAGCTTCTTGGAGACGTTGGGAGGCTAGACGGAGTTCTTGGTCGGACGAGATGAGCGAGATCCTGAGTTGAGCGAGGAGGAGTGGCGGCAGGATTCCGTCCCGTCGGACGTGATGGAGCAGATCATCCGACTCGAAGCGCTCGAAGATCTCGCCGATCAGCGCCGAGTATGCCTCTTCACTCCTCGGTTGGCTCAGCTTGACCGGATAAAAATCGTCCGGATTGCTCTCCATCTTCTCTTCCTCTTGAGCTTGCAGCTTCCAATCTTCCTCGCCCAATGCAAATCCGTATCCTACAATCAATTCCCCAGTCGACTTGGGACCATAGTTATTGAACACTTGTTCGCCTTTTTGTTTTGTTACAACAACCAATCATCAGGTGAGTTCCATTGTGTGCACTATGCGAGAAAGAGAGGGATGTCATTTACCACGAGGGATCTGATCTTCCAACGAAACGAGTTCAATGCACTGGACGGGGGAGTCAGCATTTACCGGTCTCCACTCGACCTTCGAGCCCCGCTTGTGATTAAAGATATCGACACCGGGTAAAAGAATCGGCGCTTCTTCTTGCGGAGAAGCGGCTGGAGTGGCTAGATGTGTGTCTGGTTGAGTTGGAAGACTGGTTCGGTTGGCGATTCCGGATGAAGTGGCCAGTAAGGTGGACGGAAATGAGCGAGAGTTGACCATCGTACTGGCCCAGAAATAATCTAGACTGGAGCAAGTCGTGCAAGACGAAAGACTTTTCTTGAATTAGAAAAAAAAATCCCGATGAGATATATTAGAGGAAAGAAAATTTACCAAGAGGTATGTTGAGTGATTAAGGCGTGCAAGCTAGGCGATAGAGTGCGGATCTTCTCGACGAAGCACTCGTACTCATTCGTCCAGAGTTCTCGTTGTTGATCGGTCGTAGGGAGGAGGGATGTGGAGCGTAGTTTTTGGAGTTCGGCGTCGCTCCAGAAGAGCGGAGTCATCAACTGCTCCGTCTCGGGTAACAGTCTGACGTATTCCTCATGGAAGGAGAAGAGCTCATGGAGCAGACGGTCAACTGGGCTCGGATCTGGAGGAATCCCCAAAAAAAAAAATAGTCATCCATCGTGGATCAACACCAACAGACTATGTACAAGCAGCTTCAGTTAGCAAGAGGATAAATACCACAAGAGACCCACTCACCTTCCGCCGATTTTCGACTCCTTAATCTGAGCGAGAGTTTGGTGAGGATCAGGTAGAGGCTGATGATGGCCCGATCGAGGAAGCCGAGGAAGTGATCGAGCACTGCGCCGTCTCGTTCCGGATCCCGACTCGTACGATGGCTCTTCTCGTCCAACAGCTCGAGATCGCTCAACAGCCTCCCGATTCGTTCCAGGCTGTTCTTCCGGTCGATGACGGCCTTGACGGAGCAGCTGGCCAGGACTTCCCGCCGCTCGATCGGTCCATCGGCGTAGACCGTCATCCCCATATCCCGAGCTACACGCAATCACCACGACGTTCATGGATCAGTACACATAAGTATATAAGTGTAGATCTCATTCCGACGGACATGTTTCTGCCCCTGGCGCTCCAAAGACTAGTTTGGGATGGAAACGGCCTCCGGTCTCGGCTAGCCAGATGCCCAACTTGCTATCGACACAGGGCCCCTTCGGAGGTTGGACTGGTCCTTTTCCTGATCCCTGATCCGTCATATTTGATGGTCGATTTTCAAACCTCGTCAGGATGGCCGGTCGAGTGGTGTGTGCTTGGATGGGCAGGCCGTCGGAAGTGCTGGTTCAGCTTCAAAGGCGCGAGTCGCGTCCGGAGTCAGAGTCACTGCCCTGTATTACATGCAAATCCATACACCTCCTTCTTCGGGAACACAAACACTTCAACTCCAAGAACCTGCCTCGTACATCCGACGGATCTTGTCCTTTGCTGGCCCTGATAGACAAATGGTTCGGTACTCAGAACTTTCTTGGGCGTATTTCTTGAGATCTTTGTACATAGATATATACACGCATAGGTCTTTAGAGATTGAGGTGAAAGGAAGGAAATGCTTTCCGCCAAAAGCTAAACGGATCAGGTACATACAGAATCAGGAGACGCGAAGCATGAGAAAAAAAAAAGGATAATTGTGTTAACAATGGGAGGAAATCAGTAATTACATATTACATATAGTCGTTGAGTCTGGTTTGGTTGAGAGTCGATACTTTTGTAAACTGAATCACTGAGGCCATTGCCGAGCTGCTGAAATAATATTAGCCTGTCCTCCGCGTTGGACCGGGGAGTGGAGGGCATCACCACATAATTCCGGCAGCGAGTGAGATAAGACTGGGCTTTGGTAGCTTCTCAGGCGTACATGCTATACCATTTTCATATGTTTGTCTTTGCAAAAAGGTAATCAAAGAAAGCCCAATCGAAAATGGTTATGAAATGAGGAAAGCCTGCTGGTCAATTAAGATTTCTGGCGAGTTGAACGAAGTTATGAACGGCAGCATTGATGAGAATGTTCCAAGTAACAAACCAAGTGTGGTAGAAATTCTGATCAGGAAGATGATTGATTAAGGGGATGAAATAGAGGAATATAGAGAGTAATGGAGCTTCTGATTTAATTACAAGACGTTGAGCTGTTTGAATGAGCAGTTGATGGTCGATCACAAGCGCTTCTCCAATTCTAGCATCAGCATCGGTTAGGAGACGCACTAGTTCGTTGAGGTCACGATAGAACTTTCCAGCAGATCGTGATAATGCTTTGAGTTGATTGGAGTTCATTTGGGTAAATGCTGGTAGATTAAGGCTTTTCTTGTTATTCAAGCCAGCCTTTGACAATTTCTTAAAAAACAGTTGGACCAGTTTGATGATCGGTATGATCAGTTTCGTGAGTTGGATGATCGGTTGTCGGATCAATCTTCTGTGTGAGAATCTAGTTGGGGGAATAGTTGGATCAACGATACTGATAACACGATCCAGTAGCTCATCGATCCCCGGTCTCGCACATCTTCCACAATCTTCGACCACATCTAATTCGGATCCTTTCAAGTGTCTGATGGTGTAGCCGATCCATTCGACTGCTGTTCGGGAGGAGTCTTCATGAGCAGATACAAGATCGCCATCCCACTCGTCAAACAGTTGCCCGGTCGAGAGCTGCATTTGTTCGATTTTCTCTGGGGCGTCATGAAAGATTGAACAGATGTTGTGAATCGTAAAATTGATCATCCCGTCCAGCTCGATCAGTCTATAAGTCTTGAATTCTTTGAGCTCCTGGTCATTAAGATCGGTTTGAGTTGTGGAATGTATGGATCCTGGACAGACGATCAGAGCGGCGGAGTCGATCTCAGAGAGATTGAAATCGAGTTCGGGTTGAATCTCCAAGACCTGTCTGAGTCTTGACTCGGGCTCATTCCACAAGGCTTGCGGCTCCAGTAGTATTGAGATGGTCTGAATTTGCTGTCGCAAGAGTGGCAGAAGGCTCGAATGCAGTCGGTTGTAATGGATTTCCCTCGAGTTCACCCTATTAACTGTGCCAGCCACGCGAGCTTCCCTCAGTTGTGAATATTTCCGCTTGAGATTTCCGAAGCCCTGTACGACCAAGTCTACACATAGAATAGATAGGATTCAAGAGGTTGTCAGCGGTCTTTTTGATGAGTTCGAAGAAATCGTCAAATCTGTTTAAATACCTCCGATGTGCTTAGTCTGTGCTGCAATTTGCTCCGACATGCTATGTACTAGGTGGGTATAAAGAAATGGAAAACACTATAAGCTCCGGACTGGACTATTCGAGTGCCAAAAGAAAGATGGGGAACTCGAATAGCCAGTCGCGGCTACAACTTTATAAGTTTGACTATGTGACATGCCTTGTGATATTTGTATGTGTGAAATGTAAAAATAGATAAAATAGAAAAGGAAAAAAAATAGATGAGAAAAAACTTAGATTATGGAAAAAGATAGAAAGTTCGCAATGTTGCTAATCCCATAACTCTTACAGTGGGTACTGAGTTTTCCTTCTTTTTTTGTTGTGTCTTCTTTGTAAAGACCAGTCATGATCCGGCTGATCCTGCTGATCCGCCTCGGTGAAGAACTTGTCGTTGATGTCATTGCCCAGCTGTCTGTAAAGAATTTGCAGGGTAACAGGTGCTTTTCTTAAGCGGCAGGGTGGCAGGGTGCAGGTAGGATTTTCTAATCCTGATGATGAGAGATGAAGAGATACGATTTTAAAATTTTAAAGTATTTAGAAGATGAAAACAAAATAAATCCCATAAGGGAAAAGAGCGAGTTCAAAAGCAAGAGACTTATTTAGGATAAAAGTAAATTGACACGCGTCTGGATCTCAACTTTCCTCGACGCGCCTAACAACATAGTATGTATAAGTAGAAATGTAAATAACATAGTATGTAAAATGGAACTAGAATATAACAAAACTAGAAATAGAAAAAACAAGATCTGTATCTGAAAGGAGAATTTAAGAAAATATTTTTCTTTATTTTTATTTTTATTTTTTTCTTTTTTCCTGAGTTCGCCTATTGTTGACAAAATGCCCGACCATGTACCTAAAGCAAAGTCCGGACAGATTTATCAGCAGGCAATCTGATTGATTTTGAACCAAAAATTTCATGAAATTTTTCTATATAAGGGTGCATAGATTCTTCAAATAATCCTCCTTTGACCCAAGAATCGTCGGCTACTGAGCCGCCACGCCATCTCACTAAATATTCATGTGATTTGCGTGTACGTGTGGGCGCCCGGTAGCCAATCAAAGCTTCTACATCCTTTTAATCCCAAAAGTCAGGATTTGTCATCGTTGGTCCTCTAGGGGCATTAGGGCCGATGCGGTTGGGGAAACCCTGGGGATCGACAAATGGGAGTAAAAGAGAAGTATGAAAGACGGGGTGAGTTCGCGAAAGATCTTCGGGAAGAATTAGACGATATATGTCTTTTCCCATAACTTGGTCTATGCAGAAAGGGCCTAGTCGTTTGAAATCCAACTTCCCCGAGGGGCGGGTAGAAGTGATATTCCTGCGCAAAAGCCAAACCCAATCCCCTGCCGAGTACTCTGAAGCGTCCCTGGCACGTTGATCAAAGTAGGTCCGTTGGACCTCCTTTGCTCTCAACAAGTTTTCCTGCAGGGTTTCTTGTACATCCATCAGGTCCGTAAGGAGGCGTTCTGCTGCCGGAACTGTAGATCCTTCGCTGAGAGTATTAACTCGAGGGTGAAAGGCATATTGAGAAAAGAAAGGGGAGAAGCCGGTGGAAGCAGAGACAGAATTATTGAAGACAAGCTCAGCTATAGGGAGAAGGTCCACCCAATCATCCTGGCGATCCGACACAAAATGCCGCAGAAAGGTTTCGACTGTTTGATTTGCACGTTCCGTTTGACCATCTGTTCGAGGGTGATAAGCTGTTGAGGGTGCTGGCTTGATTCTGAGGAGGCGTTGTACTTCTTTCCAGAATTTCGAGACAAATAGAGAACCTCTGTCAGAAACTATCTTGTCAGGTAATCCGTGAAGGCGAAAGATCCGATCAAAAAATGACGCAGCAAATTCTTCCGCGGTCCAAGTCTCGTTTGCTGGAATCAGATGTACTCCTTTCGAGAAGTGATCCACAACGACTAATATCAAATCATAGCCCAACGACACCGGAAGTTTTACCACAAAATCCAAACCTATCATGCTCCATGGTCTACGGGGAACAGACAAAGAAGTCATAAGCCCCGGGGGACGCTGATTGGAATGTTTTGACCGCTGGCAAGAAAAACATGACTTAGTATAGTTTATCACATCCCGTCGAATTCCAGGCCAAAACATTGTTCTACTAATCAAGTCCAACGTCTTCAAGGAACCCAAGTGACCTGCCGTAGGCTCGTCGTGGAAATCTTTCAGAATGCGTGGGCGGAGTAATTGAGGAACAAAAATCCGATCTTTGAACCACCAAAGATCATCCCGAAATTCCAGGTCATCGTCTTCTTCAGGGTCCGGCGGTTCCTTTTGGTACGCATCTCGCAACAGATCCTTTAGTTCTGGCGAAGGAGAACAAAAGGACCAATCTTTCAGAGATTTGTCAGCTACCGACTCGGAGTCCTCCTCTCCTTTGACATCGCAAACTGGAACAACTTCCCCTATATCCATACGATCATCCCAGACTTCAAGCGAAGAGCCCTCCACCCGTGCCCCCTTGTCCGTATTAAAGAGGAGGGTGCAGTGAGAGTTTTCTTCAACATTTTCGGGCAAGAAATCTGGTCTTCGAGTGGGGGGGTCTGCCGGATTACGCTTTCCCGGGACATGTCGAATCACTAGATTGAAGGAAGAAAGAAAGACAGCCCATCTTGTTTGACGATCAGACAAATTTTGATTGGTAAAAAAATACTTCAAATTTGCATGATACAACATGACAACAACCGGCTCCCTTGTGTCCATAAGCCAGGCCCTCCATTCAATGAATGCTTGGACGATAGCCCCAAGCTCTTGATCGTGGCACTGCCAAGAGATTTCACTCTCATTCCATTTCTTTGACAAAAAAGAGACCGGGCGGAGTTGTCCTGTCTTGTCCTTCTGTGATAGCACTGCGGATGAGGCATACTTTGAGCTGTCGACATGCAAAACACGTTCTTTAGTGAAATCAAAGTGTTGTAAGAGTGGGGCCGTTGTAAAACAGTGTTTCAATTCCGAAAATGACTTCTGAGACTCAGCTGATTTCAGTCCCAAAACCGTATCCTCTTTTTCTTTTGTCAAAGAAGTTAAGGGGGCCGCAATCTTAGAGAAACCTGCAATCAATTTCCTGTAAAAATTTATGTATCCTAAGAATTTATTCAGTTCCTTCAGATTCCTTGGGTAAGGCCATTCTGTCACAGTACTCAGCTTGTCTTCCTCCATCTTGAGCCCTTCCGATGTGATGACAAAACCTAAAAAAGTGACTTTATCAGCGTAGAAAGAACACTTTTCTGGAGATGCAAATAGAGAATGTTCTTGTAATTTTGACAAAACCTGAGAAACGTGGCGCTGGTGCTCCTCCCTTGTCTTTGAGAATATCAGGATATCATCTATATAAACAAAACAAGATACACTCAGCATTTCCCGGAGAACATATTGGATGAAACGTTGAAAACAAGCAGGTGCATTAGCAAGCCCAAAAGGCATCACCAAATACTCATACAACCCCCACGGTGTGCGGAATGCCGTCTTCCACTCATGACCCTCAGCTACCCTCAACAAATTAAACGCAGCTTTAAGGTCAATTTTTGTAAAAAATTTACAACCTTGCAACTGATTCAAAAGATGTCCCACAATTGGGATTGGGTAGCTGTCGCGGACCGTCATTGAGTTAAGACCACGATAATCCACACACGGTCGGGGTTTCTTACCCGGAGCTCTCACAAAAAAGATAGGGGCTGCGGCACTAGAAGAGGAGACACGGATAAATCCTTTTTTCAAATTATCATCAATATACGTTTTCAATTGCTGCTGTTCATCAAACAACAAATTGTACAAGCCCCCAAAGGGGGGTGTGGCTCCATCCTTAAGATTAATAGAAATATCCATCTCTCTATGGGGAGGGAGTGTACAATTCATCTGTGGTGAAAAAACGTCAGCGTATTGTTGAAATTCTGGGGGAAGTGAGAAAGGAGAAGGGGGAACTGTCTGAAGAGAAAACACTTCATTACCTCCAGGCTTCCCTCCCACCGACGCGGATTTGATCACATAGAGGGGGGTCGACCCTAAAGTAAATTGGTGCCCTCCATTCAGACTACCTGAAGCTACCCAACCCTGCCGATCCAGCCATGGCAAACCGAAGATGGTGTCAACCAATCCTAATCGAGTGATGCCAAACGAACTTTGAAGAGTGAAAGGTTTTGCGTCGACCGAGGAGAGTTGATTCATGCCCGCCCAATCTTGAGTGACCAGACCTCCGACTCCCTCGCGACCGTCAAAACCAACACATCGAATGGGGTTGTTGCGCGGGCGAATCTTGAGGTCGTGTTGTCGGATAAAACTTTCATTAACAAAGTTGGCCATGGCACCGGTGTCGACAAGGATGGTGGCCGGGATCAAAACTCCACCGGGACCGCGAAAAGAAGCAGGGACCAACAGACAGCTTCCTTTGGAGCCCTCTAAGAGCATCTCCAACGGACCCGCGACCGGGCGTCCGGGGGCGAACTTTGGCAGGCCGGGTGTCCATTTTCCGCTCCAGCGGACCTGTGACATGGCCCTCAACAAATTGCCGGGGGCAATCAAACCCGCGGTCCCCTTCTGAGTTCTGCCAGTCACCTCCCAGCCGCGATTCCCCATTCCTCTACGATCCGACATACGATGCCGCGCAAAAAGACCCCACAACAAACGATGGACGACCCGGATCCTCCTTCTTCAAACCCAACACACACACCAAATCCAGCACCGAGCTCTCCAAAGAAAAAAAAGAAGCAATCCAAAGCAAAATCGAGTTCGCAAACATCCACCGCCGATGTTTCAACCCCCAAACCTACTGAAAAGTCCACCGTCAACAATGCCGCCACCCCGAAAGCTGACCAGGACCCGACTCCCAAGAAGGGTTTTCCTCGATGGTCCATTGAAGAGGACAAAAAGCTCTGCATTGCTTGGTTGAATACGAGTCGCGACCCAATCGTTGGGAATGGGCAGAAGGCCACCACTTTTTGGGAGCGAATCCACGCAACCCTCTCCGACTTGATCACCGAATACAATGACAATAAGAAGAACTCGAAGAACTTC